AAGGGGTTTTGTGGAGTGGGTGAAGATGCACTCTGTGAGTGGCTGCGGGAGGGAGGCGCAGATGGACCAGCACTAGCCACACACATCTTATATTCTGGCGATTTTATCTGCTGGAAACATGAAGTATCAGAAATATAAAAATAGGATGAACGTGTGTTTGATTCTCCGTGCTGAAAGTATATGTTTATATTTAAAAAAAAAAAAAGAAAGATGTTTTGTTGTCCAGAGCCTTCCTGGTGCTTCTTTCCCCAAGCAGCTTTGCTCAGTGAGATCCCTGAGCTGCACATTTTGGTTGGCCACAGTGGTACGAAGTCACTGCAGGCGTGTTGGCGCCTCGCCGCACTGAAATATTTTCCAGGTTTGTTTGTTAGGTTGTTCTGGACTTACAAGAATACAGTTCCGTATCTGAGCCAGGGCCATGGGTAACCACGCTGATAAGTATTATTTTGCACTGATGTACATGAAATCACCTGTCTTCAGGAGCCGCCTTTGGCTTGGTGCAGTGTTTATTCAGCCCCTTTAAAAGCACGTATAGGCTGACATGAAGGTAAGCAGAGTTCTGCATTTCCTGCTCCAGCACCATCAGATAAGGGGCAGGGTTCTCCCAAAAGAGAGAATTTAAAGAAGATTACTAAAGACAATGGCTTAGACTGGAAGTCAATAGAAACTCCTCCAGAAGGAGAATCTCACCCCTGTCTTCCTGTACCAAGGAGGTTTAGCCGATGGGTGCAACCTTGAGCACAAAAAAAGAACCCAAATCAGCATCCTGTAGTGACACAGGAGGTTATGGGCATGCTCTGGCTTTATGTGTGCAGGTGGTGGTGGTGATGTGTGTCCCTCCAGATAACATCATGCAGAGCGCAGTGTTAGCCAGTGCTTGCTCTCCCATTGCTCCAGGTGCTGCTCCGACCCATGGTGGGAACCAGAATGCTCTCTGGGTGCAGCAGCCCCCGGCTCCTTGCTGGCATGGGGCACGTGGCTCAGCAGCATGCAGGGAGGAATGGTGGGGAAGCCGGCATTGCTGATCAGATTTGCAACCAAAAGATCAACCACCGTGCTCCTTCTTTCTTCCTCTTGTCTCACCAAACTGCTAAACTGCTGTTGCTTTGCTCGAAGTCAGTGTGCAAATCCAGTTTTTTTGGTGCACGGTCTTTGGGGTGGCAGCACCTTCCTGAGCAGCTCTCAGTTGGTAAGTCAGGTTGGGCAGCCCTGAGTTTTGTTTCTTTTCCCCTCCACGTCTGTTTCTGGGAGTGCAGTGCCTGCAGAGCTGCTCACCAGGGAATATCTTCTCCCACGCTGTGATTTTAGGGCTCCATGTGTGTGCCCAGATTTGTTGTTCAAAGAGGTGGGAGTCTCAAAATCAAATGACAGTCACCTAAGTTATTATCCTATATCACTGCTACGGTTCTGGATGGCTTCCCATCTTTCTGTTTGGATGATTCCTGCAAAGGAGGGTTTGTTTTTTATGTGCTTGGGTGTTTTTCCAGGAAAAAAACAAAAAAACAAAAAAACCCTCATTTCCTAAATCATAAAGTTTCTGCTTGGGAACTTTTTGGGAGAGGTTGATTTGCAGGAGCCCAGTTCTGGAGAAAAATGACATCTCTCTTCAAGTTTGTGTACTCTGGGATGAATCCCAGCTCTGAAAACACCTCACTGGAGAGCTTTGCATTGACTTGGGTGGAATTAGGGCTCTGCTGTCTGAATTGCAGAAGTGGCAACTCCTCGTGGTGCACAAGGCGTTAGGATGAGGGGCTTACAAATCTGGCAGCATTTACCATGCTGAATTATTAGCAAACTGGGCTGGATTAACTTGTTATCAGTTACTGAGCCTTGTTTCCCCTCTGCAGAGGGAGCAGCGCTGCTGGGCTGGGTGCTGCTCAGCGCAGGTGGAAGTTGTCTGGGCTGCCCCATCGGTAGCTTATGGGCTCACAGTAAAGCAGTGCTATGGGGGTCTCAGTTTCTCAGACAAACAGCTAGGTTTTAGGGTTGTTGTTTTTTTTTTTTTTTACTTATTTATTAAAAAATATACATATCGTTTTCCTCAGCTCCAGCTGGTGCTGGTGTAGGGCTGCGGGGTACGTGTTGTAGACGGAGTTCCTTCTTTTTGACTGGAGCTGAGATGAAGAATTAGTAGTTAAAAGAATAACTATGTTTTCCACTGTGATCAAGGAATTAGATAATCTGGCATGTTTGCTTAAGGGGTCTGTACCTTGGGGCTTATATGGGGCAGTATTAAAGCCCTGAGCCCTCTTATTATGCCAATACCCAGAAGATTGCTTAATGAGAAGTAAAGGGCCCCTCTCCAATTATGAGGGAATAACTGTATTAAGTTCCTGTGTTATGTCAACCTGCTTTGATTTGATTACTGCAAAAGAAATGGATTTATCTGTCAGTGTTACTTAATTAAGCCTTCTCACTGATGTTTTGCAGAGTAATATAGTGTAGTTTGCACATTTAAGTCTAAATACAAAGAAAATTGGTCGCAAGCTAAGAAACAACCCCTGAAGATAAGGGATAGGAGCCATTGCTTGTCATTTTCTGACCAGAGTCCAAAACTTCGAACTTTGGTGGAAGAACCTGAGCACTGTGTGGGCTCAGATGAGAGCAGAGCGAATGGGAAGGAGCAGCCAGCTCCACGGTGATGCATTTCCTGGATCTCTGGAGGGATGTGATCATACAGTCATTAGGGTTGGAAAAGACCTCTGAAGTCATCAAGTCCGTCTGACAGCCCACCCCACTGTGCCCACTGACCATCAGCTCCTCTTCACTGCCCATCCCATTCCCTCAGCCTCCCGTAGCGCTGTGCTCCAGACCCCTCACAGCCTCATTCCCCTCTCCGGACACGCTCCAGCACCTCTGTGTTGTGACAGTGCCCTGTGCCCGGTGGCAAGGTGGGAAGAACACGCATGGTGCACCAGGAAGGGCAGCTGGGCAGGGCTCAGCTCTCCAGGGCATTTGGAGCATTTGGAGGGGGATTGTGGCTTTAAACACAGCTCAGAGTGTTTGCTTAGGTGCCTCGTTAAAGCGCCCCAGGACCTCAGCATCTGCATTCTAAAAGTATAAATAAAAATGTCCCATGCAGCAGCCCGAAAGGCTTTATGGTCACATAAATCTTGCTGCTAGCTCTGACCACAAGCCAGCGTGAGGGCCCGTGACAGCAAGTGTTATTTCAGATTAGCTGGCTTTTACATAAAATAAGTACGCTAATAAATACAATTCCTGGTGGGGAGATGTGAGAATAATGCCTCCTTGTTCAGAGAAGCGGAGGGCCCTCCAGCAGCACTGCTCTGCACATCGTCCTGCTCCTCCTGCAGCACCCCGCCGTGTGGCTCTAGGTCTCAGTTCACTGTCCGTGTGAAGAAGTATGGGGCAGAGGTGTGGAAAACATTGAGGGTTGTGCCTCATGTCAGCATCTCTCCGTCTGCTTTTCCCTTGCTAATTTTTCTAATGGGTTTTGTGTGGATTTTGGAAGCGTGAGGGTGGTACGATGCCCATCAAAGTCAGTGGGATAATATCCATTGATTTTTAACAGGCGATGGATCAGGGCTCTACAGAGTTAATTGCCTGTTACATAACACAAATGATTTTTAAAAATATGCCTAATTAACCTAATAGAATGGTTGATCTGATCTGTCAGGTAAATGATACACATTTTCTTTCTTTTTCTGGAGCTTAATTAAATATTTACCTAAGAGTGTCTTGTGCTATTAACACGTTCATCTGTTATTGAGATAATAGGGATTGTAACTGGGAGAAAGTATTAAACTGAACAAACATCTTGGCTTTTGATACTGGAAATCAACCAGACTTGGTCCCAGCACCCATATTTCCAAGCGCTGATGCTGGATCTCTTCTCAGTGAGTGCCCACCAGCCCTGTGGGTCTGGAGGAACCAGTGCCAGGTGGAAGGGCAGCTCCTCGCCTGCATGGTGTTGGGGGAACTCAGGGCTTCAGCAAAACCAAACGCGGATGTTTTTGGCTTTTTTGCCTGGCAAAAGGCAAGAAATGGTGCTGTGTCGTTGTATGCTGCACAAGGATTGTAGAGTCCATCTCATGGCTCCACACAGCACTGCTAGGATTCAAACCCTGTGCCTGAGAACGCTGCCCAGACACGTGCGGATGGCGTAGCATCTCCACGTGCCGTGACCTGGCTTTGGTGAGGAAGCTGTTGTACAGAGCAGTGGAGTCACAGAATGTCCCGTGTTGGGAGTGGCCCATAAGGATGGTGGAGAGCAGCTCCTGGCTGTGCTCAGGACCACCTGCAGGTCAGAGCAGGGCTGTGCTACAGCTCCCTCCTTGCACCCAGTGCCGTAGCAGGGCATGCCCACGCTGCCCCAGGCCTGCTGCATCAGCTGCACGTGAGGCATTCGTGTTCAGCTGCAAAGTTCAGAGCAGATGGCAGCAGTGCCGGTCCTTTGGTCCTTACCCCCAACAGCAGCTTTCATCACTGTGTGCACAGAGTGAGGCTCTTCTTAAAGACACCCTCTGAAGTGGGGGCAGAAGCCACCTAGATACCAGCGGTCTTAAATTATTGAGGGGGGTCTCCCAACGATTGCAGTAAATTTTGTGGTAATGAAGGGAAAAACAGTGACATGCTTGCCTTGGGCAATGTGCTTTTCTTGGTACAGATGCCAGAACGATTTTTGGAAGTGGGATCCTAGCTGGGGTGGGGAGGAGCTGCCGTGACCCCAGTGCTCCTCAGGCGCCCGTCCCAGCTGGGTCTGTTTCCTCCGTGCTGCTCATCCCTGGTGCAGTGCTCGCTGAGCTGCCAGGGCTGCTTCATGCTCAGACCTCGGGGTCCTGAGGGTCCGTCTCATTGCTGCTGTGAATTTAAATGAGTTAATTTAAGCAGTGGGTCAGAAGCCACTACCGTCGTAGTAGCCCCGTGCCTGATTCTTAATTAAAGGCAACAGGAGATTAATTTGAAACATTAATTTAAAAGTGCCTATACAAAAGGAAAGAATTATTGCAATAAAGCCTAAAGAACTTTTTTGTCCCTAGATGTAGAAGACAGAACTAGCTCAGGGTCCTGGGGGAATGCAGGACATCCTAGTCCATCCAGGGTAAGTATATCTAATCTTTTTCCCCAAACCAGACTTCCTGCCTATGTAAATTCACAATCTTAACTACAAGTTTTACACCTGATTGCATAGAGGAATGGGCATGCAAAGTTGGCTGTAGTTTTGTCTTCCCTTTGAAATCTTTTTTTTTTTTTTTATTTTAATATTCATGCCTGATACTGTGATTGAATCTGGCACCTGCTGCAGAGAGCAAGAGTTCCAGTTCTGTCTGGCCGGCGACGCGGAGCAGCACTGTGGGTGCTGAGTGCTCCGTCAGCTCTGTTTTGGGTTTCTGCGTGCTGGCACCCCCAAATTGGGCAGCCCCCCTTCCTGGGGGGTCTCCCAGCCCCACCGTGCGTACGCTGCTACTTCCTAGCTGGGCAGAAAGAGCCCACACTTCCACTCACGCTCCAATTTACCCAGTTTGTTTAAATTGCATTTTAATTGTTTTCTAATTAATGCAAAGGATCCAGGCTGGCAAGCAGTGCCTGGGCTCCTCCTTCCCCATGGGGCAAATTTCTGGGTGGTGTCCAATGTGAGGGGTCCCCAAACAGCCCTGGGGGACCCAGCCCCGCACCTTTTCTCCTTTTCCCCCGGCTCAGCATCCGCTGCGTCATCGCTGCTCGCATCTGTCAGTTTTATTTTTATCCCCTTTTTTCGGGCTTGACACTTGTATTGCTTCCTGGGGAAAAATGTTTTGAAAAGTAAATTCGAAATTTGCACACACCATTATTTATGCATGCAAAAACTTGAATGTGAGCTTACAATTACGTTCTGAGATGTAAAGAAAAGAGCGTGAGCCTGGGGAGAGTTCTGGAGTTTCAATCAGGCCGCACGTGGGCTCACACACAGCCTGACCTCGCCTGTTCCTCTTTGTGAAGCAGGGCTGGCATTTCCACGGCAGGAAAATGGCTTTCTTGTGCCTACCTCTGAGCCCGAGGAGCAAAACAAGACGTAACTGCCCAGGCCTTGCCTGCGGTTTGGTGCAGAGGGCTGTGCTGAGGGCAGGAGCGCTGAGCCCCATAAGCACTGCTTGTGTGCGCAGGCCCCGATCCCAGGCAGCGCTGCTTCATGGAGTCATAGAACCACAGAGCGGCCTGGGTGGAAAAGGAGCACAATGCTCACCCAGTTCCAGCCCCCTGCTGTGTGCAGGTCACCAACCAGCAGCCCAGGCTGCCCAGAGCCACATCCAGCCTGGCCTTGAATGCCTGCAGGGATGGGGCATCCACAGCCTCCTTGGGCAGCCTGTCCCAGTGCCTCACTGCCCTCTGTGTGAGAAACTTCCTCCTAACCTCCAACCTAAACCTGCCCTGCCCCCGTTTAAGGCCGTTCCCCTTGTCCCGTCACCATCCACCCTCAGAAGCAGCCGTTCCCCTCCTGCACCCTTCAAGCGCTGGAAGGCCGCAGTCGGTCTCCCCGCAGCTTTCCCTTCTCAGTGTTGTGCACTTTGCACACCCCCGCGCGTGCGATTGTGTGTACGGAGCAGCGAGCTGCTTAGGACAGCAAGTTTCTACATCGAAATCAAACTGAAAAGCAAAACGTTGAAAAGTACTTAATTCCTGCTCTTGCATGGGCAAGAAGGCTGCGTGCTCAGGGAGGGCGTCTGCGGGACTGCGCAGCACAGGAGCCTCTTCTCTTTTGCCCATTCAGGATCACACACAGAGCGAACCGAAGTCAATTACTAATGAAATAAAAATTGGAAACAGCTTTAAAAATGCTCTGTAACGCGTCGCTTTGCGTGGAGTAGATAAACAGCAAAAGGAGAAATAACTTGTGTGGCCGACTTGAAGCGTAGGAGGGAAGCGTGGACCTGCAGGTTTTGAGAAATGCCATTAAAATGTGTAAAATTGTGTTTTTCTCCCCAGAACTATGGAGATGGGACTCACTATGATCATATGGCGAGCAGAGACCTCGGGTCACATGACAATCTCTCTCCTCCATTTGTCAATTCCAGAATACAAAGTAAGACACCGAATTTCCTGATTTGACTCCGTTGTTGCGATAAGTGAACGGTTTTGGAAGTGCTGAGCTCCGAGTAAAGCTCCGAGGGCGTAAAATCCCTCATCCTCATTTCTGGGGCTGCTTGTACAAAGGGTGGGAACACGGGTTTGTTTTTTTAAGCTGCAGCACCATTTCAGAACGTTCACGAGTTCTGTTTACTGACCAGGGCTGCGTTTTCCTCTGCGAGGGGAATGTGAGTTTTGATGTGGTGACTGCAGTGCTGCTGGAGGAGGTGCACGTACGTGTCCTAAGGCAAAGCCTTTCCTTTCTGGAGATGCGACCAGCTGGCAGCGGAAATCAGGACGTGCTCTGAGCGGGACTGAGCAGAATAGAAAGGGCTTTCTGAAAGTATTCCGACTGTATGTTCACAAAAGGGGAAGGGATAAATGGCAGTGGGGGGACACTGGAGCCTTTGTTTGCTTTGGAGCGCGCTGGGTGCTGCCTGCTGGGACCTGTGTGCAGCCTCCCACGGTTGGGATGCTGGGAGCAGCAGGTCTGCTCTGCCCGCGGCACTGCCCCTCTCCCAGCTCACCCCCTGTGATAGAAATCTTTGACGCCCCTGCATCCCCATTCAGCGTGAAGCGGGGCTGTAATTACTTGCAAGCCAGCGATAGCGACTTTTTTTAATTACGGTTGATAAATGAGTTTGGTTAAAGTAAATATATGATGTAAAAATATTAGTAATGTTTGCGCTCGGCCGGGATCACACCCCTCTTCTGCGGCTGTCAGCGAGCGAACCAAACGCGTTGCTATAAAGGGCTGAGTGTGAGCCAAAGAAAACACGGAGCTGTAACTGTGATACATCATTCTTCAGCTCCAATATACGTCCCTAAAATACGCCTCGTCTTTTAATACTGGGAAATATTAGTGAGTTGTTTAACATATGGGACAGTGTTGGAGCTTGTAGTCGTTTGTATGTACTCACACACACGACATGGTTACAACAGTTTTAGAGGCTCCAATAGATGCCAAAAAAAGCATGGAAATTTCAACACTCCCTCCTTAACTCACGCCATGGGGCTTAGGTAGTGCACAAAGGCACTTCACAAACAGCCACGCACTTCTGTGCAGCCCACTGGGCTGTGGGGTGCTTTCAAGTTTAACCTTTAATTTGGATCTGAAGAACTTAAAAGTCTCTCTCGCTTCTGCCTGCCCTTGGGTTACAGAAAAACCTCATTCCTGTCTGATTGTTTTTGCCATCTCAGTGAAAATACCGGTTTCGCCTGATTGAAGAAATAGTTGTTTTCCAGAAGTGCATTTAGAGTCAGAGGGAATTAAGACACTGGGGATTCCAGTTACAAATTCTGGGTCCTCACTGTTGCTAGGAAGTCGTGGTTGTCTCCAGCAGAGTGGTTTGCATGGCCTCTGCTCACCTGGCGGTGGTCTCTGTGCTGGAGGTGTCTTCTGCAGCCCTTGGTGTGAGCCGGGATCGTGTTGGTGACCTACCAGTGCGTGTTCCTGAAGCACCCTTATTTTTGGCTGTTGATACTGTCTGGAATTTTGGGCTGGCAGTATGGCTGGTGATGCTCTGCTCACACCAGCTGTTACATGGCAAGCCTGTGTGACTGAAAAGGAGCCTGTGTGCTGCTGGGATTGCTGGCTGCCTCCTGCAACACACAGCCACGGCTCAGCCCGCCTCTCCAGTAGTTGGGTGCACTCCTCCTCGTCTGTCCGGATGGGCAGCAGAGCTGCTGGGGCTGTGCCCGTGGGTGCCATGGTGCTGCTGCTGTGTTCTTGGATGCAGGGTGTTGGTAGCGGAGGAGCTGGGGACGCAGGGCTGTGTGGATGTTTCCCTCCCATGGAAATGCTGTGGTGAAGCTCAGCTCCATTTCTACTGTTTGAGACTAGAGAACGGACCATGAGTGCTGCTGATAGGATGGCTGATGCTCATGAAGTGCAGCCCTAACAGAGACGTCTGTAAAATCATGCTGATCACGCCTGCATTGGTGACTTGGGAAGGATTCTGAATATTGCTGCCACGAAGGAGCACGCTGCAGCTAAATGAAGGCGTCCTGACCCCCAGCTCCCATTACTCCAGATGTGTTGTGTTACTGCTCCTTTCCTGTCCCTGAGCTGTCTCAAGGTCCTCAGTACCACTGGTGCTACATGGACTGTGCCTGCAGAGGTGGGCTGTGCAGTTCACTTCATGCTCTTCCTCTTGGCAGCTGATGAAGAGCCTCTGATTAGCACCTGCCCTGACTCGGTGTGATGCTGCTGTGTGCTGCTGCCTTCCATGGGGCTGCTCCTGAGAGGGGAGCAGCAGCCAAGGGAGGGCCTGGCTTTATTGCTTTTAAATAGCACGATCGATGCATTGATTAAACACATCTGGCTTGTCTTTGCAAGTAAGCATTTATTATTGCTAATGCTGAATCAGAAGCGGGCTTGATAGTTGTGGGATTAATGTTAAGTTTTACAGAAGGCACTAAAAACGGCAGCTCATTGGCTTTCACATGCTGCTTCTATCCATGTGCTGCTTTTAGAGATGTGCAGCTGGCCCCAGCACTGTGCTGTGAGCGTTTGTCTGGGCTTCTCTCTGTGCTGACCCGTGCCCATGTCTGGGGCTGAGCACATGCTGGTCTGCAGCAGAAAGCCCTGGAGCCCCAAGCAGTGCTGGGCTGCAGCTGGGGCCGTGCAGAACGGCTGCTGGTGGAGGCCATGTCCGTGGACAGGCTGTGCCCACCTGAGGGCTTATGTTGTGTCTTACTTTCCAGGTACTTATTTTTAAGATGGATTTTCCTGCAGGGCAGCAGAAGTCACCGTGCTGCTTGCGTGGTGCTCAGTTCCTCCTGGAAGTACTGTGTGTTTGAACACTACTAACCGTGTGTGCTCCTGAAGCCCAGGTGTTCTGTGGGTGCTTTTGTGTTCTTGGGAGTAACCACAGAGTGCTTCCGCGGCCTGAAAAGAGCAGTGTTGCGTGGGGCAGTGGCTGCACTGGACACTGGTTGTCCTCACCTCCCCATTTCCATATACTCCCTTGCTGAGCATTTTCTGTCTGTTGCATTGGACGCCTTGCTGGCACGTGAGGCTACGTACCAGCGCTCTGTAACTTGTTTCCAGCTGCCTGTAGCGTAGCGGAGCACTTTGCTGCAGGGGTCAGATGGAGGCTTCAGGTGCTGTGGGAGAGCTGCTGGCATACAGGGTGACCCGAGTCCCCTGGGCTGGGGGCTGGAGGCTAGAGGCTGGAGGCTGGGTTGGTGTCTGTGCTGTGGCAGCTGCTGGCTCGCTGAGCTCAGCTGTGCACACAGGGATGTGCTGTGGGGCACTTCTGGCTGCCGCAGCCTGGGGATGAGGAGCACTCAGCCTGGGAGAGAGCTTGCTCGACACAGTCGAGTGTGTGGAGTGTAGTACGAATAGGAACAGGAGAGATTAAAATATAAGTGCTTTCTTTTTCTGCAGCGTGGAACCTGCAGCTGGCGTGCTTCTCCCTTCCACCTGCAGGACTTGTGGTGCTCAGAGCGGTGTGATGTGATACTGAAAGTCCTGCCCTGCTTGCTGCCTGCAGTGCTGGAGGCAGCTGTTCAGGTGCTGCTTTGAGCCTTGAGAGGATGTGGCTCAGTGGGCACCGTGGGGATGGATTGGCAGCTGGACTTGAGGATCTCAGAGGTCTCTTCCAACGTTTATGATTCTCGGATTCTGTAAGAATGCATATTGTTTGATTCCAGTGGGAGCTGGCTGGTGGTCTAGTATGCAAAGACGAGTCTGTTTCTATTGCTAAGCATGAAGTGAGGAATGGATGCAGTGACTTGGGCTTCCTTCCCTGCTAATTGCCTGCCTCAAATCGGCTTAGGGCAGTGCTGGTGCTGGAGGCTGGGAGCCGGCAGTCCGGCGGCACGGCTGCGCTGCTGGTGATGGTGTTGGAAGGAGCCTTTCTCTTTATCTTCTGAAGAATGCGTGCCGTGTATTTTGTGAGGATATTGTAAGATTTGATAAATTACTGTCTGGAAAGCATCCTGAGTTCTTTGGATACTCTGTGTACATGCCAAATTTTAATATTATTTTTAATGCTGTGATAGCACTCGTCTCCGTATGAATATTGCTGTGGTATTTGCTTTTAATCTGTACGGCCTTGATTCTGGTACTGTTATTATAAGTAGAACTGGAATTTTTGCAGATCAGTTAAGTTTACCCAACACGGCATTATAAGGCCTTGCTTTCAATTGCTAAACTATAAACATTAGGGATGAAATTTTCCATGCTGTGTATCTGACTCAGCCCGATCATTATTTTTTTAACCTTCTGCAGAAATGATTTCAACATTTCCTAAAATGAGATTACATTTCATCCTGGCAGATTTTTGGTTTTCTCAGCGCCTGGCACGTCAGGAGCTTTAATTCTTTTCACACCACTTCTGTTATGTCAGGTGGCTTCAGGTCCCCGTTTGCAGCTGCAGGAGTGGAGGTGTACAAGGAGGGCCGAGAGGGAGATGTCAGAAACTGTCCCAGCAATTTTCAGTCACAAATTTGCAGTGCAGAAGGTTTTGATCATCTCTCCGTTGTGCTGCACCCCTTTGGCCATCATAATAAGGGCACACATACTCAGCAGCCACTTGTTTGTGTTGGTTTGTCCGTAGCGTTATCGTTTTCTCAGTTTGTTGGTGCTACGAATTGGGTGTTGGTTAGAGGAGTCTGACAGCCCGCGGTGGGAAGGAATTGAGACGTGACTATTAGACGCGCCAGAAATAAATTCCATATGACATACGGAAAGAAGCACAGGACATTTTTCTGAATAGCAGTCACAGGTGAATTTTCAGGAATCACAAAAAAAAACATTCTCCAGAAAAATCTGCAGCCGTCCGTCTGGCGGTTGCAGCAACTGAGGTGACTTTCAGCAGCAGAAAGTCTGAATCTAATGCCTGTAAAGGTCAGGAGAAGCCTTGAGAAACCAAAGGACCGGAAATCGGAGGCTCCAGTTTCTGTTGAAAGAGCCGTGCTGGTGCAGAGACGGGTTCAGGAGGAACCTGT